TAAATAAACATTATGAGTATAAACTAAGGATCAAAATAAAAGGGTCAGTCATGTTTTTGTACAGTCAGGAAAGATTTTTTTGTTCTGCGCAAATTTTTTTAAACTTTAATTGTTTTGTCATAAAAAGATAAAAACACCTGCCAGCTGATCGCAGCAGTAAAAAGTAGATTATATGCTGGTATTTCTTGGTTTTGTAACATATTATGTTCGGTTTAGACAAATATTCTAATCTTATCACCACTTAACAATTGGGCTTGCTTTTATAAAAAAATTAACGCTTTACAAACAGGATATTAATGATTATGATTGTTGCTAAATCAGGCATACAGATTAATTATAAAACAGTAATAAATCACTTTACTCAGATTTTTTTGTATGTTTGACAGCATCTGGTGCTTTTCTTGATTTCTTCAGTGAATTTAAGCTATTTATAAAACATTAATAAATCCTTAATAAAGTGCCCTAAAACTCGTAGTTTCAGTAAAGTATCTGTTCCAAACATCAGTACTAATGGTTCAGTACAAAAACCTTTTTCATTTAAATCAGTGAAGTCATTTATGACGATTGCTGACTGATAAATGTGGATTAAAAGCAGCATTTATCACATAATCTTGTAGATATTTGAATAAATATAAAAAGTGGTTTTATTACCATTATTGGGGCGGCTGTGGTGGAGTGGTTAGGGGAGTTGCCCTGTAACCAGTAGGTTGCCAAATTGATCCCCTGTTCTAGCCGACTCAGCTGTTATGTCCTTGGGCGAGACACTTCACCTGTTTGCTGATGGTGGTCAGAGGGTCAGAGGGTCCGGTGGCACCAGTGCATGGCAGCCCCGCCTCTGTCAGCGCGCTCCAATGCAGATGTGGCTACAATGTAGCTTAGCACCATCAGTGTGTGAATGATTGAAGTGTAAAGCACTTTGGAGTCCATATGTACTTGACAAAACGCTACATATGTTCAAACCATTTACCATTTTTAACAGACGTTCTTCCACCTTCCTCTTCATAATTAAGAGATGAAGATGTCTGCAGTCAACCTGAGCCGACTTGTAAGAGTTCAGTCTGTGGTTAAATGACAGGAGTGTGAGCAACTAAAGTTTTATAACTGCAGGGTATCTCTGATAATTAAATGTCTCCTCAAACATTGGACACACACTCACAGACAAATACACACTCCTCTGCACTAACACACACACACACACACACACACACACAATCACACACACAACTAATGACTATTTAGACTTTTTGAATCTCTGCTCCACCCTCCAAAACCCAACAATGGAGAGGAGATCTTTATCTCTTGACGAGAGCGTTTCTGTTCGGTTTATTTTTGGCCTCTTGTTTTTACACAACTAAACTTAGAAGCAAATACCGGTTACTGTCTGCCGTTCGGACCGGGAGACTTAAGAGCAGCAGAATCTGAGAGCGTGGCTCGAAAAGCAGAACGTCAAAAATGAATAAATATGGGAAAACTSGAGTGAGGAAGCGAGAGTTATTAAYTGTTGTTGTAATGTAGTTTATTGTTTACTCCGGCTGCGGCTCGCTGCGAACAATGTGAGGATACACGTTTCCCATGGCTGCAAGCCCATGTGAAGTGGGTGAAAGGGGCCGATTCACGCAATTTYACGAGAATTTATATGAAGGAAAAGCTTCAAATTAAAGATTTGTGACTTCCAATAAATTCTGTGTACAGTATTTCTGTGTTTTATCTTAAAATACGAGACAAGTTAGAAATGCAAAGTCTTTGAAAATAACAACAATATAGGATCTGGGTAATTAAACTGATTAGACTCCATAGTTGTTGCAGAAACGGAAAAAACTCCTGGGTTAAAAATCTAAATAGTGAAGCTATAATGCTCATAATTTAGGCACCATTTACTGTAAAAGTAAATTTCACTGAAATGGAACAAACTTCCTTTTCTTGGTTGTCATCATCTCTCYGGAAAAATTACAAACCGTGTTTTTGTGCCATCATTTAGCAGAAGCTGACCTCTGGTGTGACCTGGAAAAGTAYAATAAATTCACCTGCCACTGGACCTCTCCAAACTCTGCCTGTTTTCTTCTCTTTTTTTTAAGAAAGAAAACCTGCAGCTGCAGAAACTTGTTTATAACTTTTTTTTGTCATTTATTCATTTCAAACAAACAAAACATTTCACACAACAAAACAATACAAATAAAATAAAAGGTAGCAGAAGAAAAAAATTCTTATATCTGCTCCTTTTTTAATTAAAAACATTTCAAACAATGATAAACCAAAAAACAAAACAAAAATTTCAATTTCTCAAACAGTAACTAATACAAATTAAACAATTTCATATTTCTTTAACAGTTTTTCTTTGATTGTTTTCTTAAAGAAATTCACTGACMCAATGCTTTTACAGTCATCCTCCAGATCATTCCATAGTCTTTGACCTTTTACAGAAATGCATCTGTCCTTCAAATTTGTTCTGATTTTCGGTTTAACAAACATTTGTAATCCCTTCAAATTACAGCAGCTTTCCCTCTAAACAAAATTTAATTGGTGACAAACTGTTCTATAATCAGGCGTTGTCGTACGATAAAAAGAGTGATAATGTAATTGCCTGAGTCTGTGTGTGTGAGTCTTTCTGCATGCTTGTCTGTCAGCAAAATATCTCATGAACCAGCAGGCGAACTTTAATGAAGYTCTCTGGATGTAAATCTACAAATGATTAACTTTTTGGGTCAACCTGGCTCAAGGTGATCGCCACGGCTAATTAAACGTACGAAACGYAAACAAGTGCATACTGTATTATATTTAACAGCTACTGGTCTAAAATTAGCTGAGAGTCATGAGAAGAAACTGTGTTTAAAACTTTAGCCCCAACTGTTCTGAGTCAACTTTCTTTGTTAGCAGAACATCTCACAAACCATAACAAAACTCTCATGCAATCACTTGAGGTGCATCTCCTGATTAACTTTTAAGGTCAACAAAAGGAATCAAGCGACAGAGACAAACAGGGCCAAACATTTAAATTATTTCCCTTTAAAGTTAAAACCAAACATCAGAAACAGACTCAGGACTGAGACACTGACCGAGACGAAAGGAATCCTTCACCCAGCAGCAAAAACATCCCTCTGAGCTGAATCTGATGAATCACCTGCTCTATAAATGACTCCACAATCCAAGACTACATTCAGTTTGATCATGAAGCCAAAGGAAGTGACTCAATGGTTCTGATTCATCRGAGAGTGCTTGGAGAGAAGCAGGACGTGTGTGTCACTGATGCATCAGTTAATTAAACTCAACAAATCAGACGGATTAGACCACAGGTTCCAAACTGCCTTTATATTATACTAAACRACCATTAATCTAATCTGATTTTAATCAAAAATAATCAAAAGAGCTGTTTGTTCA